AACTTTGAGTGATTTTTTTTTTTTTTTTTTTTGAGTAAAAGGAAATCTTGGCTACTGTATATTAAGTAAATATTTTTTAAATACCTCAGAATTAGAGCTTCTATTTCTATGATCATAACTCTAGGCAGACGATTATTAGAAACCAAACCTATAGAAAATAATTACTATTAGAGTTTTATTGAACCCTGACTTTAGTTTTCTGTTTTACTTGGGTGAGGTCATTGGGGACAAGTAAGTGTTCGTGCAGAGGCGTCCATTCTGTTCATTATGATGGGCTGTTTAATGACACATACAGACTTCATTTAACATTAACTTTTGGTTGGAAAAATCATGTTTTCCAAGGGTGGTTTGATGAATCAGACATAAAAATAAGGATGCTGATGACTGAGGCTTTAAATTTTTGTTTGTTTGTTTTATTTTATGCTAGGGATCAAACCCAGGGCCTCACGCGTGCTAGGCAAGTGCTCCAGCCTGAGCTACACCTTCGGTGTCTTAGGTTTTAGTTTTTAATGCCAAGTCCTGAGGAGTCTTGAAATTGCCTAATGTGTTGCCTTAACAAATACAACCCCAGCTTGTGAAAATTAAGATAATTATGAAGCATTGTTGCGGTAATTCTTTTTTAAATTTCCAGAATTTTGCCTATAGGCCTTTTTCCTAGTTATCTGCTTTCACATAAAAACTACCTGGCAAATGTTACTTAATGTAGTAAAAGATGTTCAGTCTGCAAGATAGAATTTTTCATTACAGAATTCATAATCAGATACTAATTTTTTGTTGAAAAGTCCCCATTTCATAAAGACATTTCAAGTAGCTTTGAGTTTTTCTCTGTAAACAGAAAATGTGTGGAACTCTTCACCATGATAGTAGCGAAGCTGGTGTTCTATCTTCTCCAGAGGCAGCACTTGCCAGTACCATAAGGCTGTGATCCAAAAGTTGAAATTTAAAGCTGAAACATTTACCATAGAGTCATTGCATGAATTACATTTATGATATAATCCATGTAGAGTGAAAGTGCTCTTGAAGTGAACTATATTTTATGTGGTAATGTTTTTTAATGTATTACAGTGAATGACACATTACCATCAATCCCCTCTTTTAAGATGAACCCCTCTGCCTTTGAACATATTTATCCTTCTTGTACCTTCTGAAGCAATTCTAAAAGTCCTTTTCATGAGTGTCTAGTTTGGTTGTCATGACTGCTGTGATGTCCTGAATTGATTCAAAGCATTTACTTCTCATTGTCATTTTGACTGGGGAAGAATCTGAAGGTGCACAGTGTCAGATATGGTGCCTAAGGTGGATGAGGGGCTCAGCATCATGACTTTACAAGCCTGCCTTTCTGTTGGATGGTATTTGGCAAAACATTCCCTCTGTTTTGCCTATCCCCTGTAAATACACGCACAAAAGAGGACTTCCAGAACTGCTTCAGAAAGTGTCAGGAGGGGCCAAGGATTTAGCTCATTTGTTCTGCCGCCTTCCTTGCAGACAGAAGGACCCAAGTTCAATCCCCGGTACCAAAAAAAAGGGACAAGAAGGGTGAGGTATGTTCAAAATGATGGAGGGGGGTTGAGGGAGATTAATGCAATGAGTGTTTTACTGTGCTAATTTTTAAAAAATTCAAACACTGACCATATATTTCTGTCACACCTTGTACAGGTTAAGGTGTTTGACATCTTTTATTTTCTATTCCATTACCATGTCATTCTTCCATTACTGCTTACCCAAGTTTCCTGTGCTTTCCCAACGTGTTTCAGGTGTCCACGTGTGTTAACTTTCCACCAGAAATTCTCTCAGGAGCTGAACTCAAAATAAAGGGGGCAAAGGAATCAGACACATTGTTGCTAAGAAGTTAATGATTGTTCACATTCTTTCTGTTTTGAAGAGTTAACATTATTAACCAAGGGTATTTTCTGATTCCTAGACCTACAGAATTTTAAGAATTAATAGGAAATTATTAAAAATTAGGACCATTTTTTCAGCAAGGATCATGGTACATTGCCTCAGACTCGATCCTGCTGCCCCACCTTCCCACAGAACTGAGCTTGCGGGGCATTTCACTCCATCCTTTTTAAGTTTCTCCTTTTTGTTGCTTTTTTCCTTATTCTTCTGAACTCTTTTTTGTGAAGCTCTTTGTGGTGGTGTTCTTTTTCGCTTTTTGTGCTTTTATAGTGCTTGAAGTGTATCTGTGTAAATATAGATCATTTTAAATTCAGGTGTTTTTCTTAATTTAACATCTCATAGTATCTAGAAATTCCATCAAAGTTGAGCTTAGTTTACTTGAGACATTTATCAATGTACAGGTGAATAGATGATTTTTAGTTTTCATAGCTGGTTTTTGAGATTTTTCACTAATGTATGCTTTCCTCTGAATTTTCAGAGTAGATGAATTACATTTATTGCTGTTAGTAAAGCCAACAGTAGGAGACAAGCTATCCTGTGAAGTTTAGTAGTTGATGATAATCTTGAAGAGCTAGATACCAGAGCAGTTGGAATTGACGTGCCCACTTATTCTAATAATTATGATACAAGTATGACTTAAACTCTGGTTTGCTACATTCTAGCATTGTGCTAGGGAATAATATGCCAGATCAGTGAGTCAAAAAATGTCATTTTGATTCATGTTCATGGTTCTGTGAAATGACTTGGAATGAAATGGAGAGTAGAAAGTTTTTTTCCTTTGTATTCATGTATTACATTTAAGACAAGTTTAAGTCAGTATTTATAATACATAAAGGATTCATTGTCTGGTATCAGTACTTACACATATTTCACCTTGATCATTCCTCTCCCTCCCCTTTTCCCATGTCCACAAAGTCTGTCTCCCTGTTTTCTTAACATCTTTCATTTTGCTCTAAATTACATTTTGAATTTCTCATGGAAGAGAAACCATTTGATATTTAATCTGTGCCTGATAAATTTCACTTAGCATTACAGAGTGCAGACATTTTCCCCAAAATGACTCAGATTTATCTTTATAGCTGAGTAGTACTCCATAATGTGTACTAAATTTTTCTTTATTCATCTGTTGGTGGGTATACCAAGTTTTCCATAATTTAATGAAATACGTTGCTGTGAACGTGGATATGTATGTGTCACTGTAATGTAATGACTAACTTTTTGGCAGATAACCGGAAGGAAATACATCAAATGGAATTCTATTTTTAGATTTTAAGGAATGTCCACACTGATTTCCATGTTTGTATTAGTGCACATTCCCATTGATAATGCAGAAGCATTCCATAACCTCACCAGCATTTGCTTTTGGGTGTTTTGAGTACTCAAAGCCATTCTTTGTGAAGTAAGGTGAATTTCAATGTTTTAGTTTCCATTTCTCTCATGGCCAAAGAAACCGAACATTTTTTTTGTACTTTATGGCCATTTGCACATCTTTTGAGAAGTGACTTCATTTCAGTTGCTTTGTGGTTCAGGCTGGCCTTGAACTTACTGTGTACCCTAGACCTGCCTCAAGCTCTGAACAGTCCCACCACAGCCTCTCAAGTGCAGGGATTACAGCCTCGTGCCACATGTCTGGGCTTGTCACATATTTTATTAGTAAAATTCTTTATCTGTTTAAATCCTTTTTAAGCTTGCTATTCATCCTACATATTTGCTTATGTGTTTCTTTGATCTCCAAGCGTTTTGACCATTTGGATTTTGAGTTCTTTACCTGTAACTTCTCCACTCCAAGTATCTCTTAGCTTTGAGGGAGTGAAGGGTTTGGGGATGCATCTTGTTGCCTCGCTTTGTCCTAGTTGTATTTTTGTGCTTCAGGTGGAAGATCAGTTCGGGTAGGAAGACTTGTCACTACTGTGAAGATCTCTAGATTCTCTCCCTTGGATTTGGTGTTTATTATACCCCTCTTCAACCAAGTGTAATATTTGAGGGTCCTCAGTCCAACTTTCTAGGGGTCTCAGTACCATTCAGAGAAGAGAAAGACCACAGTAATGTTGATGACATAAAGATAAACCAGACAGTGGCATATGGTAGAAACCAACAGTTATACCTCCAGTAACAATAAAAATCAGCAGTAATAACAGAGTCAAAGGCAGACTGAACATTAACATACTGTAAGAACCAATAAGAGATGTAACTATACCACCCTTAGTACTAGAAAAGAGATCTGCAATAATAAAAACAAACCAAATAGTGATACAGGAAGTACGTAACAACAGCATAACTATATCACTATTAACAAAAGAATTCAGCAATAATAGCATAAAGTCAAAGTAAAAACTAAAGCATAATAGTAAAAATTGAGGTGGGAGAGGGAAAAAAATAAAATTTGGAAAAAGATAATCCAATTAAGGAAAAAAACAGTTGCTAGAAAGAGGTCAAAGGTTCCAGTGTTCACTACTGCAGACCGTGTCCCAGTGAGCGAACTGAGGTCACACCTTGCAGGTCACAGGCCAGCCTTCCCCTGGGATGCATCCTCACCTGTATTCTCTTTAGTCTCATCTGTGAATTGGAGAACTGATACCTAATTTCCTGAGACACTGTGAAGAGTGAATGAAATGATTTACATAAAGTGCTAGTAAATTATTTCCATCGTTTCTGGATTTGTTCCTTCTAATTCTACAGCCTTAAAGTTATTTTGCCATTACTTTAGTTTTGGC